ACTGATACAACTATATTATCAACAAGTTCTTCTTCTCATGAAAGCACTGATACAACTATATTATCAACAAGTTTTTCTTCTCATGAAAGCACTTCTAATATAAATCCAAGTTCATCGTCGATTGATACTACAATATTCAGCACTACTGATTTATCTGCTAGCTTCTCTGGCAGCTCATCTTCGAATACAGGTAGTAGTACTGTAACAACTTTAACGGGGACTAATTCTGACACAGAGAGTTCTACAACGGCTTACAGTTCAACTGGTGGATCTACAACATCAATATCTGAGCCTTCTTCAGTAGAAACTGGTAGTACAATCATCACAACAGAGTTAACAACATCAAGGGAAACGATTTCATTGATCAGCACAACCGCTTATTCAACTTCGTCCGTGTCCGAGACTTCGAATCCATTTTCGTCCACAACTGAAATATCAACCAGTTCTGAGGGTACAACAGAGTCAATATCGATTTCTTCATTTTCATCTGAATCTGCTTCAACACCGACGGGTCTGACAGATACATCATCTATCAGATTGACTTCATCTGATACCACAGGTGAGACAACGATGTTAACATCAACTCCTACACGTTCAAGCGAAACAGCTCCATTAGTAACAACTGACCAATTCTCGACCATATCCGTATCTGCTATTAGTACTTCAACATTACATACAATATTCATTAGTTCGTTATCCACAACCGAGACTAAGCCTGATCAGACACCTATTTCGTCAGGATCATCGATAGCACAATCAACAAATCTATCTCCTTCATCAACATCATTCCAAACGGGTCCTTCTCAAACTTCAATTGAAAGTACAATAATAACAACAGCTACAATCGTGACACCATCAAGTGAATCCAGTACAACAACTGTTACAATGTCATCTGTATCTGGTTCTTCTTTGGTAAGCCAATCAACTATTACAGGTAGCGAAGGTATTTTATCTACTTCGGAATCTACTATTGCTGGATCACTATCAAGCATACTAAACACAGAAATTACGTCACCTTCATCTCTTACTACAAGTAAGATAACGATGTTAACAGCGAGCGAAACGTTTTCATCAATAATAAATGATCAATCCTCGATTACATCGGTATCTGGTATTAGTACTTCAACATTACCTACAATATCCATTAGTTCGTTATCCACAACCGAGACTAAGCCTGATCAGACAGCTATTTCGTCAGGATCATCGATAGCACAATCAACAAATCTTTCTCCTTCATCAACATCATTCCAAACGGGTCCTTCTCAAACTTCAATTAAAAGTACAATAACTGTTACAATGCCATATACATCCTATTCTTCCATTTCAACTCCTTTTGCATCGACAATAACTATTACCCCTAGTACTACATCTACAACGACGACGACAACAACGACTACAACTTACATTTTTCCTTTTCCACAACACACAGTAGAATATCAAGTTAAACAAAACATCACTTCAACACGTTATAATTTAAGTACTGCAGATGGTTTAAAAGACTTCTTTAACGATCTTCAAAATCGTCTTAGACCAATATTAACTATTATTAACTATGAATCTTTAAATTGTTCCAATCTTCCATGTGAAGTATCCTATAACGTAACATATGAAGGATATAGCTATCTGAATGAAAGCAGAATTAGCGATTATATTAAAACTCGAACAACAGATTTTTCCGGGCCTCCAAGCGTTATAGAGACAAAAAGTAATTAAAATAAAACATATTTAAACTTATTTTTTTTATCTTTATATTTTCTCTCATTTATAGACCATCGTTGTTTTAATGAAACAAAAGAAAGAATACAAAATGATTGTTATTATTGTGGTACAGAAAGTCTATGTGCTAAAATTCCGGAATCACAATGCATAACAAAAGGTGATTATGGAAAAGAGTATTATTGCAAGTATGTTTTATATTTTATCAATTGAAATAAAATTTCAAATTTTTTTTTTTTTGTTAAGATGTGATCGAAGTAAACATTTTTTTCGTACGAATTATGAATATGATGAACGATGTGCTCGTACAGCAATTTTATGGTGGCCACAAATATTAGCAATTTGTTTACTTATATTTCTTCTTTCTATTCTTGCATGTGCTTTAATAATATTCTTACGTCGACGACATATTATTTGTAAAAAGTATGATAATTTTTTTCTAATGTAGTAGTAAACAAAAATCTTCTAGCTAGTATATCTCGACTACTAGTATCATCCAAACGGATTCCCCTGTAAAATGAACAATCTACCCACATTCAACGTCCAACCGTTTCTAAATTTTTGCTAAAATATTCTTCTATCTACTATCTACTAATCTCTGTTAGCACAAACATTTCTAAACTGCACAGTGAGTTGCCTAACGATCTAAGTTTTTTTAGTTTTATTTTTCTGGCTTTAGAAAAATATTTAATCGACAGAAATAGTATATTCGAAATCACTGCATAAAACTGCGTTGAATGATTTATAACACCAATTAATTTTGAAGCAAAAAAAACGATGGCAAAGATCCTCCTCGGGCATTTTCCGTTAGAATATATTTTTTTAATTAAAAATACATTCAATCATTTCTGAGCAAAGAAATCCGTTTCCGAGTAAGAAATTCACATGTCTATCTACTATGTGAAAAAAATGCACGCAATATGGATAAAGACTTTTGTCTATTATGATATAATAAAAATATATATTTATTTTTCTAGATCAATAGGACGAACACAAGTTCTAGCAAATGTACCTCAAAAAAGTCATGAATTTGAATATATTGGATTGAATAATCTTGATCGATTACCAGCTGATAATACATTAGCACGTTCAAAGTAAATTAATATAAATATCGAATTATTATTATTATTATTTTTTCTTTTTTTTTGAATATATCGAACGTGATAAAAGTTTTGCATGTAACTCTGTTCAGAAATATAAAAGAGAACGTCGATCTTTTTTTTTTTTTTCTATTTTCTTCAAAAGATATGCCATTGAATGTTCCTACTCAGATCACAAGATTCAATCTTTATAGCTATTTTCGAAATTTTAATAGACTACTAAGACTCAACACGAGTATCATCATGTTATTTCTTACAAGAAAACAAAAAAAAACGAAAAAAGTTCATTTTTAATCAAATTGAAACATTCATCACTCCATCAATATACTTCCAATGAGATCACTACTGGTTAGTGTTCGGCATGACTAAGTTTTTTTGATTCGATTCGATTGAAAAGAGAAGATTCGAAGAGTGCATCGAACCATATAAGAAACATGATATTCATAGTTTTTTGAGAAAAAATCAAGATTAAACATATTGGTCTATTCAGAATTTAAAGTTCTATGAGAACTTCGAGTTTTCTGGAAATCTTAGTTTTTTAAAACTTTCCGGGAAAATGTTTTCAAATATTATGTTTCTTATATGGTTCAATGCCTCTAAGTCTCCTTCATTCAACGGTGAACATCATAGTTCTCCTTCTTGTTTCTTTCAAAAGTTATTTCCAATCAAAAACTGTTCGGTGACTTCTGAACCATCCTATATACATGTACTTTAGTTTAACTGTAGTAAAATTTATGTCTAGTTGCTTTGATTCAGAATACCTGTGACTATTTTAGTATCCATAATTATTCATGACCAAGTTTCAGTTACAACCACATCGAGCACCAGCATTAATGTCTCTTCAATGTGTTTTTATCATTGTCAGTTGACGTCAAGTTTTCATTATATTGTTTTGTTAAGCATAATTTATTTTCAGTATTTTTTTCAACAGTTGAGGAAGTTTAATCTAGTGATTTGTACATTGAGTTCAACGAAGCATCCAGATCAATTGATACAGACATTATTCTTGACTTGTATTTAAGATGAGAATGAATAATAATCTCAAAAACATTAGAAAGAAAAGGAAACATAAATATTATGATAATTATTCCTTTTGTTTAAATTTTGATATATTAGTAAAATAAATTCATATTTAAATAATTTAATTTTTATATATTAATCTCAATAAGTTTAATTATATATATATATAATAAATCAATTCAATAAATTATAATTATTATTATAGAGAAGAGTGAATGTGAGAGAGAGAGAGAGAAAGAAAATCTAGTTGTTATTTTTGTGATAGATTTCAATATAATATTAAATAATAATTATTTTTGATTGACATATTTCTTTCACAAATAGATGATCTAGATTTTTGATTTTCCTACTTGCCTACTTATAGTAATCGTCAATATCGTTTGATATATCCGATTGAAAGATTAAATACTTATGTTTATCGACGACAGTTTATTTATAATTCCGAAGGCTATTAATTATAAATTCGGTTTTTTTTGCCTTTCTTTAATTCTTTGTTTTTTTTTAGTATACCACAAAATATTACATATGCATCACGAAGTCCTCCATATGTTCAAAGAGGTACTATTCGAAATCATTACAATGAAATAGATGATCGTATAGATATAGAAAATCGACGTTTTGATATGATACATGATATTCATGATGATGATATGTATTTTTAATAGATTTCGTTCTTCTTCTTCTTTTTTCTTTCATTTTCTTCTCTTAATCCTATTTTGGTGATAAAAAAAAAACGAAACAGTGAACTTTATAAATTAATCATATTGCTTAAATTTGATGCAAATTATTCTTGCTAACGAACAATGGATAAATAAAGAAACAAAACGAAATTAACATTTTTCATTTTTGTTCTTTCTTTTTTTTTTATATATATATTTTTTTTTTCATTTTTTTCTATATAATCGTATTTATTTTTTAACACAAGTAAAAATAAAAAGAAAAAACAACAACAGCACTTAGCACCGTTTTTGTTCTTGTTTTTTTTTTTGTTTTCAATTAAATTCTTAATAATAATATTCGTTTACCATTTGCACTTGTACATAAACGAAATGGTTGATCAAATTTTAATGGAAAATTTTCATCCATTATTAAAATTTCTTCAGATTTTGTTATTAATGGACATGATTCTTCTTGATTAATTGATGTACTTTGAAGTGAATTTTGATTTGATTTATTATCATTTATTATTTGTTGGTTGAATTCATTCGATTCTATATTATTATTATTATTATTATTATTATTATTATTATTATTATTAATAATAGAATTTGTTATTGATTGAGAATTTTTTAATAATACTTGTTGTTTTTGTTCATAAGTTTTTTCTATTGATTGTTTTCGTTGTAATTGAATTAATTTTGATGATCGTTTTTGTATATTTGTCTGTTGTTTATATTGTTTTGGTAGAATATGTAAAATAAATTCAATTAATGTTTGTCGAAATTTTTGTCCAAAAAAACAATAAAGTAAAAAATTTGTTGATGTATTACATACAATAAGTAATATACCAATTGAATTTAATGAATGAAATAAAATACTATCATATGAACCATGTGGATCAATAGCATACCATGCATTAAGTATTAATAATGGTAATTGACATAAAACAAAAACAATAATTACTGTAACAAGCATTAATGTTATATGATTATCAGCTTGTTTTTTTTTATTTATTTTACCACATAAATTTTTTTTACGACGTTTTGTAGCAATTAAATTTTGTATTATAGTTACATTTATACATGTTAATGTTACGAATGGTATTAAATAAACAACAGGTATATAAATATATATTCGTGTATATTTATGAATTTTTTTACCAATATCTGTTAAACGACATTGTTTTAATTCTGGTATATAACGTTGTTCTAACCAATATGGTATACAATAAACAATAGAAAATATATAAATTAATAATATTGTTATTAATGTTGCACGTTGTGTTAAAATTTGTTTAGCTTTTAATGGAAATTTTATTAATATTAAACGATCCATTGATACAGCTATAGTTAAATAAATAATTGAAAGAAGTATAGTATTATATACAGGAGATGTTGGTAAACGTGTTAATAATATTTCAAATGCAAATGGAGGTTGATTTGATATATATAATCGATAACCTAATAAATATCTCATCGAATATGATGGTATAAATATTAGAAGAAAAAGTATATTTGAACATGATAATGCTGTCAAATAGATATTTGTCGATGTAGTACGCATTGATGGAGATATAAGTACTAATATAGTAATGATATTTCCAATAATACCAAAGAGACTTAAAACCATTCCAAAATAACCCCAAACAATAAGACGAAAAAGTAAAATATAATCAAGACCACTGTCATGATCAGTACTGGACGAATTATTCGACATTATTCATTAGTTACTAGATTTTTCTTTATTGTAATCTAAAAAATACAGAATAAAAACTTTATTTATCCATTCTAGAATTTAAAAATATCAATCGATTTGTATTTCAAAAAAAAAAAAAGAAAACAAATCAATGGGACAAACCTCTTTATTTAGATGAGAATCCGATCAGTCTCATGGGAATAACGGATGTGTAATATCCGTCTTTCGAAGACAAATAAAATAGATTAACATTTTGATCTTCAACCAAACCAAAAAAAAAGGAAAAAAAACCGATGCTTTTCTCTCTATATAATCACTCATGTGTATGAACTATATTTGTTCGAATAAGAGTTTATCATTGAAGTTTAAGGAAGGAATGAGTGGAAACGTGATAAATTATTCAAATTTTGTCGGAGGTCTCGGGCAAGTATATTAAATCGTTTTTAGTTAAATAACGGCCGAATAAACAATATATTTTTAGTTTATGTATTCATTAGAAAAATAAAAGATAAAGAGTATATTTGTTTTAAACATTTTCTTTTTTTTGTGCTTTTTTTCTTCATTAATTTATAATGAATAAAAAGAACAACGAGAGTTTTTCGTTTAAAGAATAAGTTTTCTTTTTTTTTTATAATTAAGTTTTGTCGAAGTCTTTATGCCTTAGGAAATATGAAATATTTTCTTTTTTTTTTTTCTCCCACTTAGTAATAGAATGAAGAAATACTTTGTATTTGTTTGATATGATGAATTGATGATTAGTGAGTATGAATAGACGTTAAAATTAGTAATTCGATAAATGAGGTCGACACGCGCAAACTACATCAAGATGGAACCCAAAAAGAAGCACATATATATATATATATATATCTATGCAAAAGTCTATCGATTCTTTGATATAATATAATGCTGAAGGCTATTTGTTTTCTAGTAGATGTTTCTCATTTTTCTCTTATTCATTATCTTCTTAAATTTTCTATCTATGTTGACTATATCTTTTTTTTTTTTTTGTATTTCGACACATATGTCATTGATCAAAGAATAGTTTGTCGTCGTGTTCTTTTCATGACCTTTATTATACATAGGAAATTGATCTTACTAGCCTTTTCATCTTTATTAAGAACAAGAATACTCGTTTTCTAAACCCTTAAAAAACAAAAAAGAATAAGAAAAAGAAAAATGAAGACTGGTGTCATAATTTTTGACTTGATAAAATTCTATCGTCGATTCGTTTATCTATTGATTGCCTCAAGGTTTTTTTTATTTTCTTATATTATCATCTCATTTAAGAAATAAAAAGTATACGTTTGTTAGCGTAACAATCAAGAAGATTGATCATCAGAAAAGGAATACTATATTCTACTAATGTTAATTTCTTTCTTCTTTCTTTTTTGACTGAAATTAATCTCAACGAGTTTTCAACACACGCACATATGCTTGAATTTTGTCATAATCCATACGCCTGTCTAGTGATAATGATAATAGATGGCATAAATGATAGATACATAATATTATTGTTGACCTACTTGATGACATTGATTTGAAGTTATGAACTTCGATTGTCATTCAATGTTGAGTTATTAATCATAGAGCAAGATAGAGAGAACAACAAAGAATAAGAATTGAAAATCTTATTCAATGTCAATGACTGAATCTAATAGAATAGCAAAAAAAAAAAAAAAAAAAAAGAAACAACAAACTGATCATATTTTCTATCACTACCATGCACATCTATTCTCATATAGACAATAATTCAGATTTGTTTTTTTTTCTTTATATTCAAGCTCCACTGTTTTCTTTTCTTGTTCTTGTGCGCTTCACTTGTGCTACTACTATATTGTGAGCGACGGAGAGCGAGAGAGAGAGAGAGAGAGAAGGTTCGAATGGGTGTGAAAGAAAGCAACAGCATAGAAAAATATTTCTATCTTATCGTGTGTGCGTAAATTAAGCATTATTGCTGTGTCCTATGACTTGTTTGTTTAAACATCTAACATTTGTGTTTGAACATGTCAATTAAACGATAGAAGAGGGAAAAAAACCTAGCTAGCTATTATTAGTGACTTTTCTAGTTTTTTTTTTCTCTTCTCTATAATCTATTCAAATTTATTTAAACGGAAAGCAAACGTAGAATATATTTGTTTTTATTTCGTATCTTATTATAAAATGATAAGTTTTATTATTATTGATATAATATATATATATATATACGTATATTTCAAAAATTCAACATATTAGACAACCAAATCGATTAATTTATTCATTGTAATATTTTTTTAGAGATAAGAATTATCATTGAGGATTTCTCCAAATAAGGAGATGAAGAAAAAAAGAAAGATTTTTCATTTTTTTTTCTTTCATCTAATACTAACACACGCATGAATATGTCGATTGCATTACTCTATTACATGATAATAAAAATGGTAATAACAATCGACTGTGCATACTTATTAGCACGTATCACAATATGAACTTTCTCTTGTTTTTTTCTTGGGGACAATTCAATTATTTTATAGAGGTTGTCTCATATGACTTATCTAGTTAGTTGTTAGGCATGATTAAAATGAAATTACAGACATGATGCTTAGTATTTATTATTATTTTTCTTCAATGTATAGAGAATGTTCTTATGATTTGTCTGTCATAAAAGACAAATTAGGAATTGTCGGTTATTTTTATATATAATAATAAATATGTTTCTATACATATGGAACATTATCATTTAATAATTACATTTCCTATAGTTTATATTCCATATATCTTTGGCATACATCTATCTTATTTTTTTTTTGCATGTAGGATTCAAAAAAAAAACGTGATTTATTAGTTTTAATATAATGTTTGATTATAAACATGCGACAATTTTGATCGATCAAGTAAAGAAATAAAGCATTTACAAAATGAATATACATCTTTTGTTAACTTACATAGAATGTATGTTTTCTTGCTACTAATTATTCATTATATTGATAAGGAAAAATTCCAGAATTAGAAAATATGATGTTTGACATGATTCAATGCTATTATGATATTTCTTTTTTAGATTGTTATTCTATATTTTAATAAAATCTTTCATTTGTCATATGTTAAACACGACATTAATTTCATTAGTTTTTTTTTTCTTTTTAAATAGATTTTTCAAGAAAGAACTCTTTGTAGATTACATAGAACTCATGGGATTATTGAAAGTACTATTTATGTCAACATATATATAAGAAAAAATAAAAGTAATTTAGAATTTAATAATCTATACAATTCAAATATTTCTTATTCATGTCAAAATTATAGATAAAATCGTCTAATTTTATTGGTAATCATCATTTTAATTTGATCTAACAAAAATTCAAATATATTAACTATCAGTTAAAATAAAAAAAATTAATTTTTTATTTTAATGAACATTTTCAAAGAAAAGAAACCAAAAAAAATACTGTTGAATATTTGTAAAAATATCGTGACTACTAAATATAGCATAAAAGACATGTGTAAACTATATAAACACTTCTTGATACTTTGAAGAAAACAATGCATACTTAATGAACATTATTGTTATAAAAATATTTTTATGGAAGAATAGTTCAAAAACATTAAATCCTTTTTTTAAATTCCATTTAACAATTATGAAAAAAGAAAAATACATTAATTATTTCTAAAGTTATTTTCTTAATATTCGCAAGTTTCTTTTAGCTAAGAAAAACAAAATAAAACTACGCAAAATATTATATGAACTCTATTCCTTCTAGCCATACTATTATTATTATCAATCTTTGTTCTTCTTCCAAGAGATAAAGCCCAAAGAAAAAGATGCATAGTAGACTTTTGCGTCTTAATATATAATCCATAAAATAATCGTACATTTTGTAAGCTGTATTAAAATCTCTTTCCAGTCTGTGAAATAATTGAATAGAAAATCTCGAAAAAAAAAATGATCTATCTTATTACTTAAATATACGCGAAAGATATTATTTATGAACATAAGATAAAAGAGTTAGTAATAAACTTCGAGAGACAAAGAAAAGAATGTACTCACAATATTCATGTTCATACATTCTATCAGACAGAATGTCTATAAGCTATGCTTAAAAGAAACCAAAAAATAAAAGAAAAGAAAAACCAATAGCAAATGATAGATAGTCTGATTTTCTAAATCAGAAAATGTAGATCATTTCTTGTAAACAAGGATTTCATTTTATATTCGACATATTGACAAGGATATATTAATATTTTTTTTGTTTTATCTGAAGAGAAATTATTTTATTGTTGATTAAAATACTATCTTGACATGTAATCTATAAATATCTATTCATGCAAAAGAAAATAACATTTGGTCTTACAAAAACAAAAAAATTAGTAGTACGAAAAATTTGTTTTGTTTTCTTTTTCAAAATAAAAAAGATTAATTATAAAATATTATATAAGGTAAAATGAATTATTTCATACTTATTATGATAACATAGGACGAAACAAAAAACAAATTTTTCTATTTACAAGTATGTATTAATAATACAAGATGTAGAGATTTTTTTGAAAAGAAAAAAAACTAAAAATTTTTTTTTTGTAATTTCCTGAATAAGAAATATATTCATTCCTACCTCTTTCAATCGAACGGATACTAAAATTGTCAATACTACTCTTCTTCTTTGTTTTACTATTTTCTTTAAATAAAGAGAAAAGTAACGCATAATAAAATTCTTGTTATATTAGAAGAAGCTTCTCAAATAAATGAATAAAAAAAAGAAAAACAATTAAGAAGACTCTTTTAATAATTGAGTTTCTTTTTTCGAATGATTTCTTTTGATTTATTGATTTTCTTTCAAAAGCATTGATATACATATTAATATTGAATTTCAATATAAACAATATTTTATTCAGTCATCTTGACATTGTGTCGACTTATGAGAAAATGTTAATAGGAAGTAATTATTTATAAGGTGTCGGAAATGTAAAATAGAAGTAGAATTGTTGTTTTTAAATATAGTTAGATAGAACATGACAATCTGACCAAGAATATATATTTTTTCATTTTATTCGAAGAAGTTTTTAGGTAAAAAATTTCAATTTTTTTCAATGACATACTTTTTCTGAGAAATGGTAAATTTTCGATAACCGACAAATGGTCAATTTACTTTTTGTTTCCGATTTAATGTTAAAAACTGAATCTAGAAAAAAATCATTCACAATAACTTTCTTAGATTTAGTTTTTGATGCTGAATCTGAAATGAACAGTTTTCAAAATTTGAAGAAAACACACAAACAATTGACAATTTGTCGGTTATTAAAAATTGTCCCTTCTTTTTCGAAACAAAGTAGATCATTGAAAAAAAACTGCATTTTTTTTTCCCTAAAATCTTATTCCAATAAAATGAAAACACATAATATTCTTGATCAGATCGTCACATTCTACCTAACCATATTTAAAAAAAGAAATTTTGCATTTCCGACAATCACCAACAAAAAGTGTGTTTGTTTTATTAAAAACTGTCTCTCGAAAGCATGAAAGTAGTTCTTAACGAGAAGAATTCGTTTCTGTAGACATAACTAAAAGGTTATACATGTCAAATATATCACACTCGAAGAAGTCTTTTATCAAATAAGAACATATTCAGTAAAATGTCGTCACTATATTTGATCTATGCACTTCATTCTAAGCATTCAGATATGTTCTTTACATTGAAGATTACATTGGTAAAGTAAAATAATGTATCTTTGAGAACGTGCCTTAGGGCATATTCCCTGAAGAATACCTTCTATATCTAAGAACGCATTTCTTGTCAAGAAAAGATATGAAAGACACTCAAATTATTCTCAATGTGTATTTAAGTTAGCATGACACGTTAGCTATTAAGACAAAAATTTCTTTTTTTATTTTTCATTATAAAACACGCTACTTTTTCAGATTTATTTATTTGTTTTATTTGATAAATAATTCCTACTAAATTTAAATCGAACTAAAAATAGAATGTTTTCACTATAAAGTATTTCTTCATCAATAATTCTATTTATTTTGAGTGATCTCGAACGTTAATAACACAGCTCTTAGCATATTTCCATTAGTAAAGATGATCAAGCATCAACACTAGTAGTTGAGTTATGTAATAGTGATTAAATATAAATTTTACTTTTCTTTTATTTGTTCAACTACTTAACTATATGGAAAGATCGAAATTATTTAAATAGGATTTTACCAAACTTTTAGCGTCTGATTCGAAGAATACTCGTCTTATGTATGATGCATTTCTATTTTGTTTTTGCATTGGAATATATACTACATTTTTCTCTATCCGCTATCTAAGCTTCGGATAAGTAAAATAATCTCATTTACTAATGGAAAATTAAATAAAAAAACCAGATTGAACTTATAAACTCTATCATTTAGAGTACAAAAACACATATGGCTGCTTTTTTTTAAGGACATCATAACAAGATGCTTCTGTGCATGATAGCATAGACATGAAGACTCAAAATCTTTTAAGATATAAAGGGCTTTATTATGTTGAAACCGAAAAAATAAAAGATAATTGAAAAGAAGCAAATTATGTTTTATATTTAACATTGTATTCTTCTAAATAAGCTGCTAAGAATTCTAAAACTAAGCCGAACTTTACAATAATATGCATATGAAAAAAAAAATGTGAAAGACGTTTTTTTCTAAGACATAGAATTTAGAGAAAAAACAAACTTTTATTATCAATATGAAAGATTGTACATTTTCTCTATCGAGAAAAACTTCCTAAGACTTTTTAATAAATCTAATCTTTTTTTTTTGAATATTTCTTTTGTTCTAGAAGTTTGGAGAGGAAATATTCAGACTCATTATGTAAAACTATATCTAAAATCATGGATTAATCCATGATTTTAGATATAGTTCCATGTCGCCTCTTTTATTACAGCTGCGACGCAGATGAGCGCAACTATGCGGTAGTACTCGCATCGTACGAGCCAATGTATTTGATAGAACTAATCACAAACGGTTTCTGCTTATTTGTAATTGGTCATACCCTAGCGCTAAGACTTAACTACACGACAACTGTATAAAAGAAAGCCATTGTGATAATATGGTTCATATTTCATCCTTCTACAGTCGGTACAGTATCCAGCCACAATTCAGATTTTCGAAATGAAAATGTTGTCTACGAAGTTTTCCGGGAATCGTGAATTCGAATCGGAGACGAGATTTTCATTTTATTAAGTATTTTTTATTATCAATTTTTAAATTTTTTCATTTTAGATTTTTCACAAATTTTTCATTTCAGAGTTTGTTTTTTATTTAGTTTTTTAATTCTTTTATTTTAATTTTACAATCTATTTTTATTATAAATAAAATTAATTCAGAATACAAATATCAAAATAAAATATCGAACTTCAGATTTGAGTTCCTAACCAATGATTGTTTTTTTTTAGTAACTGTAACGCATTTACCCTGTAACTGCAATCGCACTCTGACCCGTAGTTGCGAAAAATTACGACGCAGTTACGTGTAACTCTGTCGCAGTTTTTCGCAATTATGGGTCACAGTACGATTGCATTTACAATGTAACTGCGTCGCAGTTCGATCGTAATCGAACACATGGAGTTTTACATGCTGACTGTGAATATTTCCTCCTCAAATTTCTGGAACAAAAAGAAATATTCGAAAAAGATTAGCTTTATTAAAACTCTCAAGAAACTTTTTTCGATAGACAAAATACATGATAGGTTTTTTTTTTCTCTAAACTGTATGTCCAAGAGAAAATTCTTCTACCTTTTTTTTTTTTTATATATGTTATTGTAAAGCTCGACGAAATCTATCTAGTCATATAAGTATACTACAAAAGAAAAAAGTCATGAACATTTATTAATTAATCATCATGTATTAAAATCTAAATAATCAATCATAAATAGAATAAAAAAAGATTTCAATAGAATTTATCAAAACAAATCATTTTCTTACTTTTATATTTGTATCCATTATGTTGATTAAAGATTAAAAAAAAAAGTATCTCATAAATATCTGAAAAATATATAATAATCAAATAAACTTAAACCAAAAGAAAATATTGTTTGAAAATTATTGTTAATTAAATTAAATTCAATGTACTGATTTATGTGGATGTCATAAATATATTATTGTAATTTTTTCATCTTTATTTACTCATGTTGATATAGTTTTTTTTAGTGAACGACGTATAAGTGTTGTGCAAATATTAAATTATACTTCTCTATGCAAGTAATAATTCAAACATTATTTTCGTTTATAATTGTAGTATGATCAATATTCTTCTCTCCGATGTTTTTATGTTTTTTTTTTTTAATAGCTTCAATCCAATCAAAAAAAGAAAACATTGTTGTATCATAAGTTGATCTATCTTGTATATGTATCTTAATCCATTCTGCATGTAATATTAATTTAATTATATGTTCTCGAACAAGATCTACTAAAAGTTTTGTATGAAAAAAAAAAAACTCAATATGATTGACATTGGTATTTCATTGTTTCCATCGACATTGCTTAATGACTTATCTAAAAGTAGCTACTTCATCGACATGTAATTTGAGTAGATCTAACATATAATTATCTTTTTCTTGATAAAAATAAATCAATTTGTTTGTCATCACCCGATATCATAACAATCAAAAGTTTTCAACAAAAAATAATTTTTATAATTAAGCTTTTCTATAAAATAATAATGAAAATCATCAATAACTTATTTTTACTCTTATCATATCTATGAAGTTATGTTAGAAAATTAAAAAAAAAAAAAAAGAACATATTACTTGAAATACTAACTTTGATAATATTTATATATAAATAACAATGATACTCAACAACTAAATCTTGTTCATGTCTATTTGGTAAATGAACATATTGACGAATTTTGATACGATTGATATTTGTATTATATTCAATAATATGCCAACCACGAACACGTTCACATTGTCTAAACGAATTTAAATAAGAATTTATAAAAACAAAACATATTTACGTTTGAATACGATTGATACCTGTTAAAAGCTAAAGAATGTTGAACCCTCGTAGATCGTATATCAATAACGTCTCCTTAGAATATATGAACTACTATCTATTCAAGAGAGAAGATTCGGGATCATCGAAATACACTGAAATTTTATTGGTTAGCAGTTGAACGATCAAATGAGTTCTTGGTGGAGATTTTCGAAAATGATATTTAGCATGGTGAATTACCTCTGACTAGCTAATTTTCCGGATGATCACAGATCAATTGACTGAAATCAGGGATCTCGAGAAAAGTTTTATAACTCTCAAACAAAATAAGTTAGAAACATCGATTGAAGGAGAAGAATTTTTTCTATCGCATAATTTTAATAAAAATCTAAATCGAAAGCCGTTTTCGACAGTCTACACTAAGAACTCATCTAATTGTTCAATTTCTGACCAATCAAATTTCTATATAATTTGATGTTCTCAGATCTCCATGTTTGAATGATAAAAATCACAGATATCTTTGATACTTCTATTAAAAATTATTCAAACAAATAAAAACAGCGAAGTACACTATACTATTAAAAGGATCGTACTTCCTTATTACATTTCCGGAGTATTAAATAAAATGGACGGCGATGAAATGCGTCCCTAAATAGAAAGATAAAAGTAATCTTTTTGTGATTATCAATAGCAACTATATCATATTCGATGTTTTAATTCCATAGAGACTGCACTAATAGCTGGTTATTATGACTTGCATTTTTTCTCCAATGTATAATTAAATATACTATCCAAATCACTTTTATTGAATTTTTGTATAAGTCATTAAAGTACAAAAATGTTTCTATTGCTTAGTTTATCCTTCAAAACAATGTAATTATAGTTCTTTTAATTTCTGTTGTTTTGTTTTTTTTTTGAATGAAAATATATCTGAATATAAACTTTCAATATATGTAAATTAATATAAATTTCTTATTCAATCTATTTACATATAAAACAAGATCTCGCCAAATTTAATTTTACGAAAATAAAAATTCTTTTACCAAAACTTTTGATTTTGATTTATTTGTACATGAAATAATACAAAAATAATCTTTGTTAGAAATGCCCCTTAGCAATTTGTTCAATTATTTATAAACTGTCATCAAACGATTTAAATACTATCAATCTATTTTGGTTTTATTTATGCACGGTAGACTCGTTTTCCGATTTTTTGTTTTTCTTTGATCGCTTTCTGAGAAGGTATACAATCCTATTATAAGCGATAGAATAATTTTTGTTAGTTTTATCGATTACTATTTTCATTTTATGAATGATCTAGATTGGTAATGTAAACTCATCTTAATCATTAACTCGAATACTAACAATAAAAATAGAATCGTCCTCGAAATGAGATAATTTATCAAATAAATGATCACTATTAAAACCAAATAAATAATTCTATGTATATATATATATATATATGAAAAATTTGTTAAATAAAAACTAAAAAATCTTACTTCTAGTTTTGATTTAATAAATAATTTACCAAACAAATGTTAATGTCATATTTAATTATCTTGTTAATTCTAAACAAACTTTTTCAGTTATAGTTATTGAATCATAACAAATTGATTTTTGATTTTTGCATTAATTTGTAATGGTAATGCTTATTGAATAACATATATTTCTTGCCGACTCAATGGTTCATATCGACTTCCATTACGATATTTTGTTTGTTTTTTTATGCAAATTCAGCAAAATGAGAAACAGTTGATGGATCATTTGGAATAATTACGGACTAAACTCCAATACAATAGAGATTAACTAATATATACACAAGAGAATAATGGAATGAGTCTCTAGTAATCGCTATTCTAGAGATAATAATGAACGATAAGAGAAAATCATTTGTCAAATATATCAAGAAGAGAAAAATGTATTATATACATATCAAACAGAAAGAAGAAAAATAACATAAATAATGACATAAAATGATAGACGAAATGAAAAGTACGAAAAAAGAAAAAAAAAAACATACTGCTATTTTATAATCAATGATTAAAAAGAAAAATGGAAGTAGTATAAGTTATTCATTATGTACCTGATTCATCAGATGAAGAAGCTATAGAAGAAAATAATGAAATAACTCGAAGCGAAAAGAAAAACAAGGAAATCAAAATATTGGGTTCAAAGGAAGTACATTTGATCATGTTAGTGTATATCAATTGAAACAAAAAAAAAAAAGAGAAAAATTAAATGCTCATGAGAAAACTACTCGAGGTGATACCTCGCGTTTGAGATAAGATCCAGATCATTACGTAGAGTCTATTGAAACTAGAAGGATTCTTCCATATGCACTACCTTTTTGAAGTTATGATCATTACACTGAATTTTTAATAAGTACTGTGCCAAAGGTAAAATATCCTGTGTAACGGCCATAACTCCAAAAGAGCACCGATGAGGAAGAATCTTTCTAATTTCAATAGATCCTACGTAATGACTGGGGTTTCATCGCAAACGCGAGGTATCATCTTGGGTGGTTTTCTGGTCAATATTACATATAAATTATCAGTATAAAATTGAGTGTTCAGTAACTATCATATTTCCTTAGTTGACTAATGGTGTGGATACTACTATCAGGAAGGTCAATACCGATACTCATACCCTTGCATACTGAGTAAACCTATATATTGTATCATTTACTGTTGATTACCTGGCCAGTCTGCTATTAAATACGTTTTTTACCGACGAAACATTTTGTTGGTTACATGACTTTAAAAAATTTTTTTTTTAAATTTGACAAAAAATCTCATTTCTAATAAATATGGAATGACCAAACACAGAATTTTGTCCATTTCTTCTTTGTACGCTTTTGAACAAATCATTGCACTCAAAGACTGATCATATGCTATATTTTTTATTAGTATCACCTAACATATTATATGAGGCTTAATTCTCTATGTACAAAGAAGAAATCGAAAAAAGTCTGTATTCACTTACTTTTTGGCCATTCTGTATTAGATATTAACTATTAACAGAACTCCTAATAGATTATCTTCACCACGTGTATTTCTTCTTCTTCCAAATGTCATCAAACTTAAAAGAAGATCAAGTTTCATAATATAATTTTTGTCTATTGTCAATATATTGCGTACTATACAATTCTTATAAACATCGATAAATATTATTGACCTATAGAAAAGCAAAACTATCACTTGTTATAGCTCATATAAATATTTACATGACAATGACCATGTACAATATAATAATATAGCACATCATCAGTTGTAGTATTGGTCATTATCTGTTTCTACTTACTTTACTTTTATTGTTAACAAGTTCACATTGTTCGTGATTCATGCCGATCATTTTTATTTTGTTCATTAGTTAATAATGAACTTTATAAAAATCTAATACATTAAATGTCATAGTTTAATAAAAAAAAGAAAAAAAAGTTTTATTAAATGTAGTTGTGCAATTGACAATCTTCATATGATAGATGTGATTATATGTACGATAAAAATATTGGTGAAGGTTCTGTTTGCCTTCGAGATATTAATTATACTGATGTTCTGTTCGGATAGAAATTAACATGCAAGTAGGAAAAACAAACAAATTGAGAACATACCCGACAGACTCAGGGTCACTATTCAGACATAAAGAGTACATCGAAAGAAAAACAATTCCTTCGTTTCTAATATATAATATTTTATATAATATCTTAAAAGAAATATTATACAATCATGATGAAAATAGAGTAGAGAGTTTAATAGATGAGTCAAATATTTTGAAACAAAGTATTCCTCCATTTTTCGATTGATACAGAATGTTAGCAGCAATTTTAAAGCATCGAATTAGAATCGGAATTTTTTGTAAAAGTCATCTTTTATGAATTATGAGTAAATTAATAGAAAGCCTGAAAATAAAGTTCGAACGAATTTCAGAAAGCAAGAAAAAACGTACAAGATAGAAGTAAAGTTGGTTCCAAATACATCAAAAAGAAAACGGAGCAAATATTTCTCAATGAAATGATATCATAATCATTAATTCTTCGTGCGGCATCGATCAACAATAAAAGTTTTGGCAACAGACACCATAACATTTTCGCAATTTCTTGATTTTCAGATTTTTAAAATGTATTCGATCATTTCGAGAGGAATGCTCCAAAAACCTCGGTTCTAAACGCATTGTATAGAGTTTGATCGCCCATCATATGCGTGAACACAGATTGATGAACCATTGTTGATTATGACTACGTCGTGATTGAAACTAAATTAATAATGATGTATATTCTTGATATTTTAAACTATGCAAGTGTATGAAACGAAATTTTGATTCAACTACAGTGCTAACAATGCAATTAAATTCAATTTTTAAAAATCATAAAATTTTCTAAGCCGAGATGAGAGTTTATCAAGATATTGTCAAATTAGAATAATTTTCTTTTAGATTTGACATTTGTCAATTAATAAAATACATAACGAAATTTATAGGAAAATTCCAAAACCTTGATAATATTGTAGAGGTCCATAGATATTCAACATATTTTATATGTTTTCACCATTTGATACATAGGAAATGAATAGTATTTGCTATAATTGTTCTATTAATTTACTTTTCGTTAGCGACGTGATGGGGTACGAAACAAAAATGCTCTTATAATCGAATGAGAAATCCAAAGCTAATTTCAACCGGTAGAAATCCTTCTTCAGAATCTCTAGATGATGGTAAGACAAAAATTTTTTATTTCAGGACTTGATAGGATCGCCAAAAACAGTGAATTTTTAAGAGGAAGTTTTTTTTGAAATTTAACCTTGCTAAAAATTTCAATATAGATGTGGTTCATGCCATAAAGTCTATCTTGAAGTTTTCAGATTTTTTCTTTTTCTCATATGATTAGAGAGATATTTAGTAATTACTTTTTAATTAATAGTCAGCTGAAAATGCCAACATTTTTACATATGTCTATGCTAAAGAATCAAAGTCAAATGACAGATAGATATGATCTGTTTCGCTAGAAATAGTCCATATATGTCAAGTTATTTATTTCCTATTCAACATCTGTTATGTTCACGTGATACTCCTACCGCAAAAATACCTTGCAAGATTTTATTTCATTCCATGTAGTGATATATAATAGAATTTTTCTATTAGAAATATTATAGATAATGTGACTTTTATTAGCTACAAAAACTATAAATAACAACAATCACACAGAAAATAAAATCAATAGTGCAAACGAATAAAAAAAAAACCAAAAATCTAAATAAATACAGATATTTTATATCAGCTAATATATTTTGTATGTTTGCCTGTTGCTATTAATTCATTATTTTGTTTATTACGAAATTCCACTGATAAAAATGCCAATGTTCGACCTAATCTAACTGTGTCAGCATCAATTATTAATGTTTCACCTTTTTTTATCGCTTTGAGAAAACTATAGATATTAATAATTCATATATATTAATAATTATAAATTATCTTTCAACTTACGATACACTAAGTTCAATCGACGCAGATTTCGATGGTTTTTTTTCATTAGTCTCAAGTGCCAATGTCGATACACTGTCTGTTAATGCTGTTAACATACCACCATGTAAAGTATCTTTTGTTTTTAAATAAGAAAAATTTAATCAAACGAAAAAAAAAAAACAATAAATATTTCATTCAATTACCATTACGATTTAAATGTTGTTCATCAATATCAAGTTCACATTGAACATGTCCAGGTTTTCGAGATGATACTACTCGTATCTGATATGAGGAACAAAACAAAAAAAGAAATGAAAATAAATTAACTATCGATGATTCATTTTTTTTATCTTACGCCTTGAAATATTCGATTGAATTTTTCAGTTTTTTGACCCAATGTTATAAAATCTTGTAAAGTTCGAAAAAGATTCTTACTTGCACACATCTAGAAGATGTATTCGAAACAAAAAAAAGAATAAACAAACTATTCTTGTTCTCCTTAAATTAAATCAACAAAACAACTGATTCATAGGATAGCACAGCAAAAAGCAAAAAATACAAAAAAAAAAAAAAAAAAAGTTAGTAAACTAGATAATAAAAAAAAAGAAACAGAATTATCCTAATGTCGACGTTTTAATGTCGATTGAGTAAGATATATTAAGAATTTAAGAAATCTGTTCGATCCATTCAATGATTGTGGAAAATTATTTAGTATACGACAAGCTTCATTTGCATATTGTTCAGCAAGATGATATGTTCGAGCTTTGCCATCACTCTATAAAACAAAGATATAATTATGTTAAATTTACTGTGTACAAATAAGAATTTATTTTATGCTCTACTTCGTAGATTTGTGGATATTGGTATGAGTGAGAGATTTTTGTGTACCTTCACCTACATTCTGTTGGGTTCGAATCCATATTTTTTGTGAATCTGGAGGCTTTCTACTTGCTTGACCTCGTTTACATAAATACAAGTAAAACTATTCCATACAGCTGAAGATTTTGGTGTTACTAGTGGTTTGACGAATTTTATTCATCAATTAATTGTTTGATTTTCATAATGCTTTTTCGAATAAACGAGCGAACTAA